TGATCCGCAGCGAGCGCGGTCGGCTGCACTTCCTCTGCCACGCGCTGGCGCCGGCCGAGCGCGCCGCCGACTACATGTTCCGCGTGCTGGTGACGCAGAACTGCTCGGACCGCCGGCTGTCGTACGAGGGTCCCGTCAGCTCCGTGTTCCAGTCGGTCGCCAAGACGATCGAGGCCGGCCATGGTATGTGGCTCGGTCGTGAATGGCTGATGAGCATATGCACGTGCCACAAGAAGCGCCGCCACTGCTTTGACACCACGTGGCAGCTGGTCCGCAGGACCGACCTGCAAAGCGCGGCCGTTTGCCAGGCCATCCTCAGCAACTTCCTGGAGGCCCGTGGCGCCGGCCGGACCCGGTCGCCCGACATGGACCGCAGCGGGCTCGGTGGCACCGAGCCGGCCAGGGGGCAGACCGGTAGGGACCGCGCCGGGACCGGTGAGGTCAAGTCGTCCAGAGGGCAGGCCGGCAGGGACCGCGGCGGCCCCGGCGGCGCCGAGTCGACCAGAGCCTGAGCGGCGGGTTCGCGGCTGGACGCCCTCCGGCCGTGGCGTAGAGTTCCAGTGAAGCCTCGCGCGGCAGCGCAGCGGTCCCGTGCGACTGCGGGCCTACGGGGCCATGTGTACTGCTCACGTGTCCTACTGGATGTAGGCAGATGTTAGTGCTGGGAAACGGTAAATTCGTTTAGCTCTCAGACACCCTGAACGTCCTTTTAGTCATAACTCAGCAGAGGGCAACGTTCCAATGCATTTTGGTGAGCTTTTTGCAATGGTAAATGTTTCCGCATTGCTTTGCAGACATTCCGTGCGATGGTTTTATAACGAGACGGCTTTGTATCAGTTATGCCTTCCTCATAGACCTCGTCATTAAATGTGCTCCTCGGCGTCCATTTGTGGCCAAAATATACGGGCCCTTGATATTGACAGCTATTCAGTGCAACAGATGACGATAGAACCAGGGCGGAAAAATCAAATGGAAGACGACACACCTGGGTTTTCGAATTTATTCCGTTGAGTTGCATTTTGTTATCAATATGGCCGCGTTCTGATAAGCCTTGCGCGTTTCTTGCTCTTAAGGCCCATGTGTAGCGGGATACATCCTATAGTTGGTACTAGACATGATCTCGTTTCGATTTCGATGACAGACGTAACACAATTGATTTCCGTGCGCAAGATTGTAGAGGGCTACAACCAGGGATGGGTAAGTCTCATTGTGGAGAACTGCATAACACAGATTGCCATCTTCCCCGAGAACTGCATATTTGTATGCAAGTTGTTTACACGCCATGCTGTAGGCCAAGCAAGTCCTAAGTCGACTGAACCTATTGTTTGTTATTTCGGAAGACTGATCCTGCCCGACACAGTCAATCAGGCTTTGGGCAGACCTATATTTTGCAACCACTAGTCGTACTGCCATGCAGTTTTCAACGTTGATGTACTACAGTTGCTTATAAGCTGCGCCAGGGGATTTCGTTACTAGAAGAACTATCTGGGTGAGACCGGCTTCAGTGCTTCGTTTTGAAGCCATATCTATGATGCTAACAATCACGTCTGTTTTCACTTCGTTCATATTGAAAAACGTGCCTTACTCATATTATTTGGATTGGATTGCACATTGTACTGCACAAAATGCTACTTCCTATCCCGTTTGAGTGGTTGTTTTTACGCCTCTGGGCCTATGGACCCGTATTGGTGTTTTGCATGCAACAGAACCATTGTTCCGCGAGAGCCCTTACGAGACTATTCGGATTTGGTCGATTGACATATCGCATCGACCGCATACCTATCGTTCACAGTAGCTGATCATCGCTCCGAGAGAGGCCCTTACCGAGGCCATCCGGAGTTCGTCGATTGACATATCGCATCGACCGCATACCTATCGTTCACAGTAGCTGATCATCGCTCCGAGAGAGGCCCTTACGAGACCATCCGGAGTTCGTCGATTGACATATCGCATCGACCGCATACCTACCGTTCATAGTAGCTGATATCTCATCATTAACAAGGGTGAGCTTACGTTCTGCAGCAAACTTATAAAGCTTTGGAATGCTGTAGCGCAATGCACACATCATCGGAGTTAGGAACACCACAGAGAGGCTTAACCCAGCCATGTTTTCAAACTTAAACGTGACCCACGGGCTTAAGAATGACGGCTCCCTTACTGAGTATAAATTATGGGCTTAAGATAACCCCGTGCCCGGCCGTTATCTTAAATTTTTCTCGTATGGATGCCAGGTGTTGGGTACTTACAAGGGGAGCGAGTGTTAGGGACAGAGTATTGGGAAACAAAGGACCAGTTACAGGCACATCTCGGCGCGAGACGCTACCGCGTAAGGAAAAAAGTTATGAGGGAGCTTCTTAAGCATCGTTCCGTCGTGTCACCTTCTGAGCACGCCTTACCACGACCGAAAAAAAAAACACCAGAAATATCTTTTAGCAACGCTTTGAGGAATCATGCATTGATTGGATCTCATATGTTGGCATCAGGGGCGGCGCAGGAGGAGGAGGGGAGGGGGACAGAAGGGGCAGTTGCCTGCAGCAGGCAGCAGGATACCCCTCAATTTTTTTGGTGTCCCTTTTCACAAACCAAAGACATTGTAGCTACCCGTAGATTATTACAACTCGGATCAAGGAGTCCTCATAACTGGGGTAAAGAGTAATCAATCGAGCTCAGAAGACCCATTTCTGTGTCAAGGGGCCCATTCTCTGGATCATGATACCAGCCTCATGAATAAGGTAGCCCATGCTCTAGATAAGTAGGTATGATGTCTCTTGTAGTCTCTTGTATGATGTCTCTTGTAAGTAGGTACGATGTCTCTCTTGGTAAGCCCCTCTGCCGGCTCGGGAGGCCCCCGTTACAAACTAGAAGGTCTTTGTTCTGGGTTGGGAAGATTCTCCTGTATTCAGGAGGACCCATGTCTGGAACAGGAGACCCCTTCGATGTATGAGATGGCCGCGGGTTCCTAATCAGGATTTCCTGCTCTGGGATAACGGAGCCACTTGCTGGGTTTGGAGGCTTCCTTCGCGCATTGATAGCATATTTTTCTGGATTACGAAGCCCCTCTCGACGTCAGGAGGCAACTCTCTGGAATAGGTAGCCCTGCTTTAAAATAACGAAACTCTTTGCAGATTTTCAGAAGGCCTCCATTCTGGATCATCCATTTATCGACAATGATTTACCTGGACATGTTACATGTAACGATTTGATAAGAATGCATATGCCTTCGGGTCCCCTACCCTTAAATACGGCGATGCCCGCAATGCCCCCTGTGAGGAAGCCTCATTTTGTCCAGCAGGCCGCTGGCGAATCATGCTCCCCCCCCCCCCCCTTCAGCTCAAAAGCTCTGTCTGGTATTAATCCAGACTGGCTCAGGCTGGTATTAACTTCTCCTTTTTTATCTCACGTTTTTTGGTTAAAAAAATTGTCACCCATTGTCCACAAGTGGTCTTTTGTTAGTTTGCTTAAAAAAATATACAACGGTGGGCTCCATGCCGCATGCTCACATGACTTTCTCTAAAAACTTTCAGTACGTTTGTGCATCACTTTCCGAAAGCCAACAAGCCCGCCCAGAGGGTGCTGCGCTACCGGCACAGAATCTCCGTGGCGTGACGTAGTCTTCTCTGCTGTCAGTGAACGCCAAAAGCGGACGGACGAGATCCCTTTTAGGTGACGTGGCATTGATTCTATGCGGTCTAAGACAATGTAAAGGAAATCGCGGCCTCAATGTTTTTGCCGATGTTAGCGCAGGTTGTACGCGCTGGACTGCGCGCACGATGGATGCGACTGTACGGAACATTATGTAAGCAATTACTAAAATGTACTTAGCACGCACCATAGCCATGTTGCTTGCTGTTTGACATAAACTGGATTTGAATTCGAGTCCTTTCGGTCAGTGATGATCTTTTCAGGGCCGTGGGTTTAAGAGGAGAGGTGGGTAGCTCTGGAAAAGTTGCAGTCCTCCCGTCGCGTCTGCAGTCCTCCTGTCTCGTCTTCCGGCCTCACGTACAGTCTGGACGCCTCCCGTCCTGTCTGTAATCCTCCCGTCCCGTCTGAAGGCCTCCCGTCCCGGCTGCAGCCGTCCTGTTCCGTTTGTAAGCCTCCTGTCACGCTTTCAGTTAACCCGTCCCTTTTTCAAGCCCCCGTCTCGTATGCAATCCTCTCGCTTCCGTTTGCAGCCCTCCCGTCCTGTTCGCAGGCCCCCCGCTCCCGTTTGCAGTCCTCCCGTTTCGTTTGTAGGACCTCCCGTCTCGTCTGCAGTCCTCCCTTCCCGTCTGTAGGCCTTTCGTCAGCGCACAGGGACCCTTGTTTAGTGTGTGCGCGTGCGCTCGGGCGGGGCTCTCCCGGGAGGGCTGAGAAGCTGACTTGTGACTGACGGCCGCAGCATTCTACGTTAAAAGGATCGTTGCCAGGATTCGGAACGAGGCGATGATTTAGGAAATAAAGGGAATACCTGAGGATGGGGCAAATAAGGATTGCGTGCTGGAGCCTGGAGAGGACACTTGAACAGAAAAAGCGTTTTGGATGAGAAAGCCAAAAATCATGTATTCTGCGGGATAAATGGGGAGCGACAAATGTCTTACTTGTCAGAATTGTGGTGCATGTGGCCGCAGTTTTTTCCTGTACTCCTCAGTAGAAACATTAGTGATTTTAAGTTTTAAAGGGCTTTGGCTGGATTTCGCTGGCAGATGTCGACACAGAAGTGTGTCATCCAAATTGCCCCATTTTATGTCAGGCTGAGCTGTGCCACTGGAAGCCGGCATATCTGCAAGTATGTTTCTCTTTTTAGGTGCGAATTTTCTGCGCTGTCATATGCTCTTAGGTGTACCTAAACAATTACACGCCATTGCCAGTGTGAAGACTTCGAGACATCTTGCGTCGTGACCGAGTAACCTAAGCTTTTAAGACTTGTCACCAGGTGGCAAGGCAGGTATAGCCGGTCATGCGCCGCCGGCCCACCCTCGGCCCGCGAGTAAACGAAAGTGACGAAGCAGCCGGGGCTCAGTGGGGTCTGCCGGCATGTGGCGGGAGCCTGGCCGGCTGTGAACTCTTCCCGCGAGTCTGGCCGGTGTAATCCTTCCGAGCCCGCGCGACGGCCTGATCAAGACTGATCTCGGTGCGAACTATGCGGTGATCGCGGCTGCGGCCTCCGCCGCTGCAGCGCAACTGGCGACGCCCAGAACGGAGACGGAGACGGACAGGACTCTCCAGATCGCGCGCTCCCTGGTCGGTGACTTTTCAGTGCACGCGTGACCCTCCCCGGCTGCAAGATGTCGCGCAAGCTGCTCAAGTTCCTCATCACGTTCGACAACGAAAATCTGCTATATTTTCCGGGCCAGTTCATCAGTGGACGGGTCCTAATCGAGCTGGAGGAGGAAACGGCCGTGCAAGGTACGTGTGCTGGCGCCTCACGGTAGTTCCCACAGTGTCTGTTTCATTTCTCCACACCTGGTGTGCTTTTTTATGTTGACATCAGGTCGAAAAGCTTTATAGTGTCAACCGATCGCCAGTTATTAGCTAAGTTGCTCTCAGCAGCCAACCTGCTAGTCAGATAGCACCTGCTATCAGGTTTGTTAACTCTGTAAACTCATTTTTACCTCCTGCCCAATATCAAGTACCTAGATATACTTGGCAGAAAACCAAAAATAGATGCGCGCTCACTTAACACATATACGTATAATTAACATATGTACGGGGCTATATATATATATATATATATATATATATATATATATATATATATATATATATATATTAGCACTTGTAGGCAATTATCTACTTAACGTAAGGTCGCTATCTGTCCAACTTCTAGCTATCGCATTTATCGTACATGCACGGCTAGCAAAAAAGGAGACCTCTGAAGCTTCCACTCTTATTCACCCAAGCATGTAGGACGTGCTTGTCACTGAAAGAACTCTCAAGCGAACAATTGCAAATACCGCAAGCCTCTACGTATTTAAGGTAACGAGGCCCAGAATATCACCTTTCATCCACGCCAGCTTGTGCTCCTGCTCTTTGCGAAACGCCGTCGAGCGTGCCGGCGGACTCTTTTTGTCAGCATCAGCCGGCCGGCCTCCGCTTCAGGTCAGGGCCGGTCCGGGGCGCGGGGACCGGGTGGCGAGCCGTGGGTGGCGGTGCCGCCGCAGCCGGTCCCGACCGCCGGACCGCCGGAGCGGCGTGCCGGGAGAGCGGCCGTGGCCCGTCTAACCGGTCCGGTGCAGACCGTGCACGGCTGCCATGAGCCGACGGGTGCGGGAGGCTGCTGCAGCTGCGGAGATGCCGCCGCGTACGACCGCCGTACGGAACACGCCGGGTCGGGGCCACGATGTCGGACGTGGGGAGGGCGGCGGCGAGGCGGTGAGGCGAGTCAGAGTGCGGTTTACGCGGTATAATCCGGCAGGGAGTGGTTTGCTGACATCATCTCCTGTGGCGCCCGAAGGAGCGCGCTGGACCTCAACACATTATGAGTGCAGAGTTTCTATGCTGACAGTAAGCGACCTTACCAACCACACATACCCGGAGCCAGACTACGTGCCAGGTGGTACTGGCTGAACGACGATATCAAGGGCCGCGGTGGCTATGGGGGCGTGGGAGTGCTCTTGGAGTTGGATGCTAGTGCTCCTGGGAGCACGGCATAAGGCTCCATGCCTTGACAATGTAACAAACGTTTGTTTGATTACGTTGTTTAACCGGCAGACATAAACCCGGATCCCAGGGATAGATCCCAGGGGCGTCTGTAACGTTGAAGGTCATTTACTATGGCCATAAGAACCCAAACTTACAATGCCGAAAAATCAGGAGCTCAAGGCGCTTTTTGCTTATATCAAGGACTTCGAGAGAACATGTTCGTGAGACCAGTGAAAAATAGTAGAACACTACTAAGCCAGCGACGTTCGCTCGAACCAGCTGCGAGTAATGCCTAGCATCGAATGATTCACGCTGATTTGGTAGACATTAATCAACAGCGTCTTAAAAGTTTTTCGCTGGCAGAATGTCCGCACACCTCCACGCCGTTTTCCATGCCTTGCTGCCTGGTTGGTCTGTGGCCGTGCGCCCGAGGCGGCCTCGGCGGGCCGTTGTCACGGTGATCTCGTGACCAGGTGGCGTGGCGGGCGTCCCGGCCGTGGGGAGGGCGTCCACCTGTCGGCCGGCCCGCTGCGGCGCCGCCCACGCGGCCGGCTGACCTCGGCCGGCCCAAGGTCCCGGCCGGCCCGGTCAGCTGACGGGCTGGAGGAGGCGCCTCCGGCCGGCGGGCTGCGTGCCGCGATGGCCGCGCGCCGGCGGGCAGACGGGTGAGAAGCGGAGAACTGAGGCGGTCCAGCCGGCACCCACCTGACAGCGCGCAGAGTGGGGGCAGCGGACGCTCGGAAAGGCTGCACTGCCAGGGAATTATGCACGGCAATTGAGCGGTTCACCCACGCCAGAATAGCTCAACCCCAAATAGACGAGAGGTGTTCGGTAGGTACCATTAACATCAAAGCTTTTTGTCGTAAACATGCAACGAGACAACGCACTGCCTTTAAACACAAACGGGACAAGAGAAAGGTAATAATGCCACGATAAACACAACAGATGAACCAGACGCGTGACCGTAGGGCAGAGCTTGACACGATTTATCTGGGACATTCGGATACACCGGATCAGCACGGCGCTGGAATGATCCGGCTGCCTCCGAGGCCGATGCCTATTAAGCTTCCTTGCGCCAAACGTCAGCTGCGTCCAGGGCTGTCGTGTTTGTTGCATCACCAGAATGACGAAGTCGGAGCCACGGCGGTGCACCAGAGGAACGTCATGTTCTGTGGAAAAGAGTGCCGGCCCACTATGTCAGCTGGCGCCAACGCAGGGAATACAACTAAAACGCTTCGAGCGTGGGTGGATCCCACTGTTGGCCGCTGTAGCAGTTCGCCAAGCTCATGCCAAGTACTTTAAGATGCTCACTGCTCGCACGCATCCTTACATCAGCTGATAAGTTGATGGCGTATTCATACGATTGCGTTGCAAGGGACTATGCCACATCTTTTATCAGATGCACTCTATTTTCATAGTGTTTAATTTCAGCCGGAATTGTTAAGAAACAACGTTTTTAGTTGCCATTTTCTTGTGTCATGCCTAATTGCATCATTTTAACCATGCATCTTCACAAAATTTTTGTCATCTTTGTCACAATGGCTTCGTGAACAGCATCTTACTTGTCATTAAAAGCCAACGTAAATCCCCTCAATGTCGGTGTCAGAAATCATTTTCACGTGTTGCCGTGCGTGCACTGTGTGAAGATCATCTCTGCTGATCCTTACAAAATTACGATCATTGTCTGCAGATAATCTGTGCACACAGCCGACTGACCGGGCGTGCCTGCGGGTCCGGTCACGGACCGCCGCCATACGCAGCCACCAGTCCTCAAAGCCGGCAAACTTCCCGTTCCTGCCCTATCATTAGGTGCAGACGGCGGATAAGCTCGCGCCGCCGCGAGCGTAATCATCGGGCCGGCTGGGAACCGCCTCGGCCGCCCGACCACGCCCCGACCGTGACGCCGTGTAACGGCCGTCTCCGTGTCGTGTGTGGCGAGCCCCGTCAGCGGTGCGGCGCCCGGCCCATTACGTGCTCGTGCTGCCGTCCCGCGGTGTGACGCCGCGCCGCCGCCGAGACGCCGGTGTAACGGTGCGAGGACGAGTCGGCGGCGCGGGCAGCCCTTCGCGCTGCACCGCGTGCTCTCCGCTTATCTGCGCCCTAAAACAGGCCATGCCAGACGCGGCCAAGCGTGCCCGGCGAATGAATGGGGCCCGGCATGTTCTCTTTTCACCATCAATCGCGCTTTTCATATGCCGCGGGACTCGATGACGGACGGCACGAGGATAGTGATTGATGTAATTCACAATGATTGAGCTGGAAGTCGGGCTTTCGCCGCGCTGCAGCGGCGCGGGAGAGGCTCCCACCGTACTGCGGCTCTCCTGTCTGTCGAGGGCGGCCGTCAGTTTCGCTCGCTCCCACGGACACATCGGTTCCAGGCGCGGCTCCACCGGCGCGCCCTCCCCTCCCCCCTTCCTCCGTGCGTTGGGGCGGAGACATGGTCTGAGGTCGGCCAAAAAGTCCACAGCCCAGCTGGCTCCTCCCCGACAGCACGCGAGGAGCGCCCCGCCACAGCATCGGGTCACGCACGAGTGGCGGGTACAGTAGAGACCACCAAAAAACTCATCTTGTGGGTTTACAGCTTACCGTGAGAACGAACGCATCAGCGTGACCAAAGGCCTCAGATCGATGAATTCTGGTTATCTTGCAGCTCCCCAGATGCTCTGATCGCGTCTCGCAGCTCCCCGGATGCTCTGATCGCGTCTTGCATCTCTCCGAATGCTCTGATCGCGTCTTGCAGCTCCCCGGATGCTCTGATCGCGTCTCGCAGCCCCGCGGATGCTCTGACCACGTCTCGCAGCCATCTCGATGACTGCAGCCTTGCGCAATAACGGTTGCTCGGGTTTCGCTAGACTTTTCCGTGGTTACCTGGTTAATCAGTTCAGTCTAATGGTTCGCGTGTTGGCGACTTATCCTCGCCGGATGACGTAATCTTAGAGGCCTCCCTTAAATTGTTTTGCTGGAAGAGGCCGTGGAAGATTGCATGCATGACGGTGCGTTCTTGGGCAGCAGAGTTGTCAACCTTTACGTCTTGTGTAAAGCCTCAGAGACCTGCCTTTGGTGGGTCATAATTCATAACCTTTCACCAAGATGATGGTAGTTGCCTTTGGCAGTAAACGCCCAATAGCGTGCCCCGTCGTAGGATGACTTCTTTATTGATTTGCAGCGTCCTGTATCTCATGATCATGCGGGGCTATCAGTCATGGCGAAGTCAGGTCATCCAAGGTCAGGCTAGGCCAAATGCGGCAGATGAAGACAATTTGCGCTGTTTATGGCATATTCTGACCTGGTTTCACATAGCTTCGGTCACATTAACAGATATTTCATGCAGTTTGATAACGTCACCAACCGTCGTTAGTTTCGCTGCCGTAGAACGTTCAGCTCTTGCGACAGTGAAGTGCAGCTAATGCGCGCAATGCCTGACTCGTGTGAGCCGATTTGACGCGTCAAAGGTCTCGCCCACGGGTGCGAGGCCGCTGGTGCATGACTCAGCGTACCAGGAGCTGTACAGTACCGAATTCTCTTTAAGGCATACAAGGCTCCAAACACGGAAAAGCCGAAATTTACCGACCACACCCCGTTCACGTGGTTTGATACATGAAGCGCATTTGTACCCATGTTCAATGAAAGTGATCTGGTGTAGTTTTATGCGACCTCTCCAACCTGCTTTCCACTTGGTCCCAGTGCCTTAGTGGTAATGGTACTGTGGTCGTGGTGACCAGGTACTGAGGAGTCTGTGAGCCCTTCGTCCGAAGACGGCTAAGCTCAGAGCATGGGACATTTGTGGACCCCGGTGGCGGTCTGTACTGTCTGGTCACGTAGCCGCCTGACACACTGCGCTGTCTGTTCACAGGCGTGTTCTTCCACGTGGTGGGCGAGGGTACGGTTAAAGTCAGCGACAACCAGCACCAGAGGCACATCGACAAGGAGAACTACATCGACTTTAAGATGCGCTTGCTCGGGGAGCCCGGTGAGTTCATGACAGTTCCTCCGTTCCTGTCCGCCTGTTTTCTGATGACGCATGTGTTACAACACAGCCGCTCCGCGCCCAGCCCGAGAGCTTTTTCATAATCCCTCCAGCTTCGCGTCTTTCTTCATCGCGATTTAATTGCACTTGCTAATTGCCAAGTACAACATGTTTGATCCCGGAGCCATATGAGGCAATGCGAGTGGCTGTGCACTGCGTGTTGAGGTGCAAAAAAGTACGAGCGCTTACTTCGTACCCGAAAATGCCTGGCTTGGCTCGGCTTGAGACACTTTGTTGCGCCCAGCTCCGCGAACAAAAGATGCGTTCACGACATGATCCTAGCGGTCGCACCCATCGACGCATAACCCGATGATTACAAACCCGACAAGGCACGATTGTTGCGCACGACCCACGCACGGCACGTCAGCCCGCGCCACCGCCTCGTCACGCTCCCGTGTCCCGCCCGGCGCGTCCCTCCCCGTCTCCGTCGGGGAGACACCCGGCGCCCAGGAGTGTGACGCAACGCTAGCTGACCCGGCGAGCAGGGCGCCGCTGGGGAGAGAGCGCGGGGGCGGCCGGAGCGGGGCGGCGGGCAGAGCAGGGGACGCCGCTCGACGGCACCGTCCGACGGCGCTGCGATGCGCGACTCGCGGGCTTGTTTGTCGCTGACGGTCTGAGAGATCGCCTCTTCTGACCGGCCCGGCATGGCGGCTCCCCTGCCCGCGTTATCGCGAGAGGTAGACGGGGTAGCGGACCTGGAGTGTGCGTCACGGAGACTTAGTGCGCGGGCCTGCATCCCGCCACGATGTTCGTGGTCCCACGTTGCAGGAAAGTAATCGAAGAAATCTTGCAGCCTAAATGAGTCTCTGCGGGTTTTCCACGGCGGCTGGCGTGTTTTCGTGCTGTTATCATGGATCAGAATGGCTTGGGCTTCACGAGGGCACGGAATTCGAGATCCAGCGCATTTGCTAAAGCATTTGCACATAACCAAGCCATTAACAGGAATTGTCGCATGGCTTTCAGGGCAAATTGCACTGTAAATGGCCTGTGAAATGTTTAAGTGCTCACGCCAACAACCTGTAATTTGTCGCTGGATATAAGCTGGAGCTCCGTGACCAGACCAAACAGCATTCGTCTTCATCAACCTGTGCAGGCAATCCTGACTCCATCGTTCTACCTGAAACTTCAGGGTCCTGTGGCTAGATCATCACAGAAACGCTACATGCTTCAAGCATCATTACTTTTCACGGCGAACGCAATGCACTAGCTCTCTGCATTGTCGTAAACTCTGCACGCCCTACGCGAAACAAAAATGCTGACAAACTGGTGTGACTGGACAGTACTCAAAGTATAACGGAACGCAAACGGAAGCGTGCAGCTTTCGGAACGTCAGCTCATTCCGTTCGCACGCATGGAAAAGTCATGGGCTTCACCCCGCGTCCGCAGACGCCTGAGCAAGATGAACTTGCTTCCTTCCCGCTGCTGCCCGGTGACCCGTCCGCTGCTGTCCTCAGGTTATGACCCCTGTCCCGCTGCCGCTCGGTGACCGCGTCATCGGCTGTCCTCAGGTCATGACCCCTGTCCCGCTGCCGCTCGGTGACCCCGCCGTCGGCTGTCCTTAGATCATGGCCCCTGTCTCGCTGCTGTCCTCAAGTCATGACCCCTGCCCCGCTGCCGCTTGGTGACCCCGCCGTCAGCTGTGCTTAGATCATGGTCCCTGTCCCGCTACTGTCCTCAGGTCATGACCCCTGTCCCGCTGCCGCTCGGTGACCCCACCGTCGGCTGTCCTTAGATCATGACCCCTGTCTCGCCGCTGTCCTCAGGTTATGATCTCTGTCCCATTGCCGCCCGGTGACCGCGTCATCGGCTGTTCTCAGGTCATGACCTTGTCCTCAGGTCACGCACCGATCGTACTGTCGGCCGGCATCCATAGCTTCCCGTTCAAGCTGGGCCTGCCACTGGGCGTGCCGTCCACCTTCCTCGGCAAACACGGCTGGGTGCAGTACTTCTGCAAGGCGGCCATCAAGGAGGACAGCGGCCTCGTCCACAAGAACCAGCAGGTGTTCATCGTCATGAACCCCATCGACCTGAACGTGGAGCCGGCCGTGCTCAAGGTAAGACCCACCTTACCTTTGGGTGGCGGGGTCGAGGGAGGAGCTGCTGGTTAGTGTCAAGCTCATGTCAGTCCACCACATCGCTTATTAGATACTAAATGCAGGTAGCCAAATACAATTACATGTGACACACATAACTTCCAATAGCCATGCACTTTACATGAATGCAGGGACGTCCCGACAGCTCAAATCGTCCAGACTGCGGCGTGCATCATCCAGCCGTGAGGTTGCTCCCCTAATCACTGCTAACCGCACCCGCGGCCCTATCGTCACGGATGGGTTGAGCGCGCCACAAGCCCGTCCCACGCCCTTCTTTAATTGCCACGCACGAGGTACACCCTGCCAGACCCGGCTATCTCACAAGACGATGACAATCGGAGCACGATCTCCCCGCCCCGCTCTCAGCGCGCGATCTCCCCGCTCCCACTCCCAACTCTCCCGGTCTCCCCTAATCTTCCCGCCCCGCTCTCAGCGCACGATCTCCTCTCCCCGCTTCCAGCTCTCCCCGGGTCTCCCCTGACCTTCCCGCCCCACCCCTGCTCTCAGCTCTCCCCGGTCTTTCCTGACCTTTCCGCCCACTGCCCCGCTCCCAGCTCTCCCCTGTCTCCCCTGACCTCCCCGCCCCGCTCTCAGCACACGATCTCCCCGCCCCCACTCCCAACTCTCCCGGTCTCCCCTGATCTCCCCGCCCCGCTCTCAGCGCGCGATCTCCCCGCCCCCACTCCCAACTCTCCCGGTCTCCCCTGACCTCCCCGCCCCCGCTCTCAGCGGTCTGTGTCGCAGCGGCCGACCTCCGGCGTAGAGACCTGGAGAGACCGCTGCAGCTGTGCTCAGCTTGTGTTCAGTCCGTGCTCAGCTCGTGTCCAGCTCGTGCCATCGAGTACGGGCTGGGCGCCGCCTGATAACGGGCTGGGCACGAGTTGGGCATGATTTGAGCGCGATGCGGGCACGGCGCGTGCTCATGTCGTGCCCAGCCAGTGCCCGGCCCGCATGCCGAGTCAATGTCCGATGCCGATGCCCGGGGTGCCGGTGCCAGTCATGCACGGCCCGTCCCATGCCGCTCCACTGGCTGCAGCCGGTCGGCGCCGGGTCCGGGGCACTTCGTCACCGCCGTCCGAATACGGGCCGGCGAAGGCCGCCCGCGGCCGATGACGACGCGGCGTCACCCGGCGGCCCCACCGCTGCGAGCTTGCCCGCTCCGTGTCTGCACCCACCAGACCAGTCAGCTGAGCCCTCTGGCCTGCATTCGAGCCGCTGTGACAGCTCCACGGACAGCTTCGGTGCCTGCTCTGGCTCAGTGAGACTGGAGATGAAATCATCCGGCCAGCGAGCCTTGTGCTGGGCGTATTACCCGTGCAGGAGCGGGCGACGCGTGGGTGGTGTTCGTGACTTCCTTGCGTGTCAGAGCTGGTTTAAAGTACCGGGTCCGTCTGTCTGCCCGTAAACAGCTCCCATGACTTGTGCGCGGCTGTGACAACATTCCTGTGCGCAGGTTGGCACAAAGCAGTACGGCGATTGTTCGTGTGCGAAATGGAAGCGCGACGACTTATACGACGAGGACTTAGCGGGATTATATCGACATCCATTCGCTTCTGTTATTGGTGTAACTTAAAAATACGTGCACCTTTGGGATATATTTCTTTCGGCAGTTCAACCTGGCCTGTAACGTGAGTAATACCATCGAACTGCGACATTACAGCTCCATGACGTCATCGCAGCCAGAGCGTTGAGAGGTGAAGACCACACGCATAAAAACCCGGTCGGATAATTTTAACAATCCGCCAACAATATGCAGGTCTGCTCAGCTACATCCAACCCTTCACCTAAACTGTCACCTTTGTTCGACATCGTTTTGAAGGTGTGGTTGGTCCTCATCTCTACGTGAGTCAAGCTGTCATAGGAAGGCTTGTAGTTTGTACCACATGAGACCAGAGTCACCCAGTAATAGCTTTCGTTTTTAAGGATTCTTTTCACCTCTATCTGCAGGGCAATTTCTATCTACTACATTCGTTCCTCTGCATTACATTTTTCGGTATAAATACGATGTGGCTGGTTGGCAACACATTTCGAATGCAAACAGATCTCCACTGACAGTTTGACTTATGTTACGTAATTGACACACGTCTTCACCTTTCTCACGGATGAAGTGCAAATCTATCGTATCTTTTATCATACGGTGCAATATTGTGCAGCGACAATGCTGATTTTCAATGTGATTTACCTTTTCGCACTCCAGTCGGAGCATGGACAGCTGATGTAAGCAGACCTTTTCTGATTTTAGGCGGGAAGAGCACATTCATTATCGCTCAGCAAATCTGCCTTGAAAAACCGGGCCTGGTTGGCTCATTTCACCCAATGGGAAGAACCCTTTTGTTCGGCTATGATGCGCTGACTTGCACCTAGTGGCCTTTTCTCACATTGTAAACATGTATATCTTTTTCATTGAAATGCTCATGTTCCTTAGCTCCAAATGTGAGTAGGCTACTTTTTGTGCGCACAAATCAAGCTACGCCTCATTGTCAAACACCCTACATCTTATAGTCACAATAAGACTACAAGACATCACGCAAAAACGAAGCGACGGTTCCTTTGTGAACTTACCTGGCTACGAGATCTTGGGCTGCTGAGTTTGCATTTCAGACGGCGAGCCGCTGTGGTACTGCAAAACTGGCGTGTCAACATTAGTCTCCCCATGCACTGGACGGTGCCTAGTCCAAGTTTCAAGCGGCACAAGTTCTCTTGCGCGGTGGCGATACTTTCATAACAAGGAGTAGCTGTCTGTTGCTAGCCTCAGGAGCTAACCAGTAAATCGGACGTTTCGGATTTGTGATTGTCTAACCGAACATTCTGGCTGTTTTCTCTGAGGGAACATTAAGTGAACACCCGTGACATGCACCGCGATCTGTGCATACCGTATTATGTCTGGAGAATTTAAAACAGCTCAGGAAACTTTTGCCGAGCGACAGCGTGCGACGCAACCGCAAGCACAATGTTTGCGTAAAGCAGCGTAACGGAAAGACGATTCCTTCTTTCTCATTTCTATGTTCAATCCTGTTTTCAATCAGCTGTTTTGCAACAGTGCGCAAGCAGCGTTGGTGTGTCAACAAGGCATTCAGGCTGGCGAATTCGGCCTTACGATCATCTGAAAACACTGTGTCTTGTATTGAAGGATTATTGTGGCACGTGCATGTTGAAGTGAGCCAAGCTATAATCAGCTTATGTAAGAGTCGACATATCGTTTAGCCAGTCAATTTATACAGTGTCAACTTGCCAGGTAAGGATTTCCAGGAAAATTTCGTGCAACCTTGGACGGAGGAGATATTTGCTTGCTAGCACCAGATTGATATGAGCGAAAGTACATTGCGCATCTTTTTTAAACGGATGTCGGTTGCGGCTGGCGGGTCTTCGGATCAGCAGCTGGTCGCTCCGGCATAAGGGGCTAACAATAAGCCGATTTTGTCACAAGGGACTGGCTTCATGAAGAAGAAACGCGAACCCATACGCTTTAATTTGTGTCGCAGGAGCTCATAGACTAAAAGCAACATAGTCTGAAAGGCACGCCTTACTTGTCAATGCCCTTAGAATGGAAGCCTCAAGTAAGATCGGCTCGCCTCCGGCTCAGCTGCCTCGAAATGCGCCGCGTAAAGGCTTCATGTTGGTTGGAAGCTGGCTTCATGTGGCCGTTAAAATGACCTTTGCCTAAAAATTCTAGAAACATGATGCTCTATTTCATTAAGCATGCACGTATTCTTGGAATTATGATCTTATGTGAGCAGGCCAGTGCCGCTTGTCGATCATCAACGTCATACATTCAGAGATATAATGTTCAAAAAGTGTCAAATAAATTTAGCAGTGGGTTGCCTTCAAAATCTGACAAAACTCCCTTACAATTGTTTAACTCCTTTTTTGAATGTGTATTTTCATTTTGTACCGAACCTGTTCATTTTCCCATCGTTCAAAGCTATTTAAAAGTCTGTGAAGACGTAGAAACATCAGTTGTGAGTTTCTCGGCGGGCATTTCAGAATCGGGTTTATTCATAAGCCATATGTTCGCTGGCAGCATTGTCGCGTGCTCGCATTTCTCTCACCTTGGCAGTTGTGCAGTTGTTTTATATATATATATATATATATATATATATATATATATATATATATATATATACGCTTGCGTGTGTGTGTGTGTGTGTGTGTGCGTGTGTACGTGCGTGTGTGTGTGCATGTGTGCGTGCGTGGGTGGGTGGGTACGTGTGCGTGTGTGCGTGTGTGCTCGTGTGGTTGTGTGTGGCCTTATGCGAAGTCAGCGAGTCCCCAATACTTTTCTGCAGCATAGAAGGCGTTCTTGTGTTCTCACACCATGAACAAGGCCTCTGAATGAGGCAGCCTTATGGCTGCACAAAATGTCAGCTGCATTTTGCATGACTGTGAGCATTTCATCTATTTAAGTTTTTACAAAGGGCTTGACAAATTTCCCGAGTTTGACAGACTTTGAGAAATTTTTGAGGTCCTCCCAGGCGGTACAGCGCGCAAAGGCTCTCAATTTTAGGGTAATTGATTTATTATGGCTCTGCCAAACATAAAGATGTTCTCCAGAAACCAAGATCAGCACTACTGGAATCTTGAATTTGCGACGAACATACCGCTCACACATTGCTCATGACTGGCAAAATGTTCAAGTCCGGTGATTTTGCGTTAGAAGGCACGAACAAACCGATGAATACGTTCAAACCGGCATCTGATGTGTCAGATGCCATGGTGAAGCTCTTGTGTGTGATAAGAAGATAGAAACAACTTATGTCATCAATTTTACGCGCCAAGGAACATGCAATCTTAGCTGAACGGTTCACGGAGTTGATGAAAGTATCTCGTTCGACGGCTCCAATCCTTGAGTGTGCCTTTTCAGCTGTGCCGCTGGCTATGGCCGGCATACCGGGTCTGCTGCTCCCCCCTCCCCCCCCCCCCCCCCTGCGGCTAGGCGATCGTTCGGCGGCTAGCTGGAAACGGACCTTGTGATAATCAACCTATCAGCATCTTCCCACGGCCACCGAGCTGATATTCTGATATGACGCTGTCGCCGCGATGCTTTTTTCCAGCAGTCGTGTCTGTGGAATTGCTCACTTCGATTCACATCCACAGCCCGGGGCGAGGACTGGCGAGATTGCCCAGGGAAACCAGATCGATTAGCGTGATGGTTGATGATAGCACAAAGAGCTATGACGGATTGGCTGAAATATGCGAATGTGGAGCACTAATGTGGGGTTTCTGCGGGTGTTTGAAACTGCTGGTACTCTTTCAATGTCTTTGGGGTCCTGTGCATTCGGAAAACAGCCGTAGTTCACCGTTGGATGTTTTGAACCTGAACCTTAAACGAACTTCAGTTGTGCACGCAGCGCATCACATATTGGTGCTCAGACATCTTTTTCCATTGATCTTAGATCAGCCATACGGTGTGGCGTTGTTAAGAAACCTATTAGCTTGCGTCTGCCGGAAATTAATTCAATTAGTTCGGTCTTTCCACATCATGTTGCACACCACTTCTGACAGTTCTAGGAGGAGCCCAGTCGGCGAACACTGATTTGTTGTTGGCAATGACTCGGTTGGACATGGTCTACGGCTAAACCGTGCGACGCATGCAATGACCACGTGCTTAAGTTAAATGGTCTGTGGTTAGAAATATCTCGGTCTGCCAAAGGTATCACGGAATGCTAAGAACGAATCCGGGTTTATGGTTTTACTCTAGGACTTCTGCGCTGTTGAACTGCGCCAAGTGCGCTGCTCGAGTAGGCTCGGCCATGTACGACATTTTTGTTTTGGACTGAAAATGGCTTTCTTAATTTCAGGTTACTGCTGTTTCATGTACTCGTAAACCGCATGTCACCTTTAAGATGCAGTATTAGTGTCCTGCATACTCAGATATCGCATGATCGAACTAATGAGAATTCCATTGCACCAATAATCTGGCATCACTCGCCCGTCCCGCCGCAGTAATCCGCACGGTGACCAGGATCTTCTGCATCTTCGGCAGGAGCCGTTCCACTGCGAGATCGAGCACAAGCTGGGCCTCAGTTGCTTGACCTCTGGGCCGGTGGTGTGCCGGGTCAAGCTGGACCGGGGCGGCTACGTGCCCGGCGAGAGCATCGGCATCTGGGCGAGCATCAGCAACCAGAGCAAGGTCACCATTAAGAAAACCACGGCCTGCCTCACCGAGGTCAGTGCATGCGTGTGAAACTGCTGGATATTTTAATGTGTAAGGATGTCGATGTCAGGCGTTTTTGTTTGAATTTGTTTAGGACTTTTTCGGCCATTCGTGGACTATTTCAGAGCTACGACGTGGAGGTGGCTGGAAAGTGTTGAGGCAAGAAAGACTGCATGGATCTGGGAACCCTCCGCCAAAACTGAGCCTGCATAGGGACCCCTCCTCGGAGTATTGCTGAGTGCTCAGGCAGGACTAAAGCCAGGGGGCGCGGAAGCCCACCCATGGGCGGTGCGTGGCAGCTCGCCACCAACAAACGGGGTGTCCGCGGATGCGGGATGGAGCGTGAATGAGGAGAGAAGGGCGGATGTTGTCAAGACAAGCTTAAATCAAGTCAAGGTTTGATGCTCCTACCGTGTTAGCAGTAAGTCAGCGTTAGACCTATGACGTATGATCTCACCCTTACAGCTCTGCGCGGTGCCAATGTGGATTCGGTACTCCACGAGGCATTTTTGGCTAAGTGGGCGCCGGATGTTGTCTGCGGTTCTAAAGGTTACCAGGCTTTGACCTCTAGTTCAGAAGACAGCCAGGGCCAAAGTGGTGAGAGGTTACGGAATGGCTCTAGGCGACTACACATAACCGTTCGAAAGTTATGGTGATGCACGTTGACTTATGTCCATTTTACTCTCAGAACATATCCAAAGCCACTTTGAAACAGTAAAGACGTCATTTGACCCGTCCTGACTGGTCAAGCGTAAGCAATGTCACCAGATGATATGATCAAGAGTTTTAGATCATGTGCAGCGCTGCCGCTCTGTTCTCTGGCATTGTACTTTGGCCCGTCGGATGTGGGAGGAAGTGGAATGGACAGCCTGCCCTGCGCCGCGGCGGACGGAGGGGGGGGGGGGGAGGGACCCACAGAAGTTGACAGGTGGTGGAGGGCAATCAAGTTGTACTACTTCGCTCTTCAGGCTCTCTGCCCGGGCATTGCTGTCTTGTCGTTCCGACCTGTCCCACCGGTGTCGGACCCGAGTTCCACATCCTGGGCTCCGGAGTGTGTGCCACCGCACGGAGAGTCAGCTGCGGTGTCAGCAGGAGAAAGCCTGGCCTGTCCTCCGCCCAGCTGGGCGAGCCGATTTGGGCATTGATATACGCCACCGGTGAGACCCACTTTTACTTTCAGCGCGGCCAATCAGCTGACCGCTGCGACTGTAGGACCAGATGGCCATGTGTTGGGAGACGGAACCACCGTTTAGGCACGGCCATACGCGCCACAGCAGGGGGTGGGAGAGAGGCGCGGGTGCGTTTCTAATGAACTGATTCAATCTGAGGCCGTCCGATGGATACAGTGAGACTGATAGCAACTGATCTTAGGGAGTGGGAACCTCTGCAATTCCGTTGTTTAGTGCATCCTGTGACAAGATAATACTAGGGCGTAAAAACACTTTGTTCGTTGCTTTCTGACACTCAGTCGTCATGTAATCGGTGTGCCCATAAATTGTTCCTTTGCTACAACGTGCAACGCCCTGAGATACAGTTCGTGACACTCAGAAGTAAACAGGTCCGTGCGAAGAAGTGATCAGAATACCAAAAGGCTGTGTAAAGAAGAACAAGAAGGGGCGCGAAGCTAACGATCACAGACACTTGATATGAAAACATCCACTGCCATTTTGTCAGAGCATACCAAAACTTAAGCGCAAAAGAATGAAGACTCCTTACAACAGAAGGCATTAAACGCGATCACCTACCCAACTGTGTTTCACACAAAGACGCAAAGAAGAAGAGCTGTGGATTCCCCCGCGCTGCCCGAGCCTTGGATGCGCCGCCCGGCGCCCGCAGCAATGCTGCAGGCCTCGTGGACTGCGCCTGCTGCGAGCTTTTTAATGTGGCGAAATCGGCGGCCTGATTCGAAACGTTTCCCAACCTGCTAACATTCGCCCCACGCAGCAGACGGGCGCCCGACTCTGCCTGACCTGACTGGGACGGCGCGCGCAGACAAGGGGGGGGGAGGGGGGCCCAGAGCGCAGGTGGTCAAGGCCGACTCAGAATATGGCTTGCATGTATGCATTTGCATGCATAACGCAGCAGGCCCGCGGCCCGGTCCGTGCCAGGTCCGCCGGCCGGTCAGACGATATTCCGGAGGAGTCGGGAACGTGTCGTCGGGCCGTGGATGACGCCAGGAATAAACGCCGCAGTACCCCTCCCCCTCCCCACGCCTAGCCAACCCAACAACTCATGCGACCTTTCAGAGCCGCATTTCACCGGTTCCTCTTCCAGCGCCGTCACAAGTCCGCGCGGCTCATTTTCAGACGATCCACTACCTGTCGCGTAGCAAGATCGTCAACACGGAGGTGCGTGAGCTGTCGCGCGTGGCTCGAGGCAAAGTGCGCCCTGGCGACACGGACGACTGGAAGAACGAGCAGCTGCTGGTGCCGCCGCTGCCGCCGTCCAACCTGCGCGGCTGTCATCTGATCAAGATCCAGTACGACGTCTACGTAAGTCCGCCGGCCACCCACACCGCGCCGAAGCTCAGGCCCATGCCGCGGGAATGTGCCGACTGTTCATACACGATCATGATGAATTCGGCCTTTACGGACGTGTGGTTTTGTGTGGTGTGCTTTGACCGCTCGCATCTGATCACGATCCAGTGCGACGTTTACACGGCCTGCATCTCATCACTATCCGGTATGGGACCCGCACGTCTCGACTGCTCGTAACATACCAAGGCCAGACGACGTCCGTGGACGTGCGGCGACCTAGCTTTTCACACATCATCGTGATCCATTTCACGACGTATTTCATGAACTACCGATTGCTCGCGGGGAGTCACGAATAATTCCGGATTATATATTAAACGAGTGATTACGGATTGTCTATCACTGATGTCGTTGGACGCATCTCTCATTTATAATAGACGAGGATGTACGACACATCCCAGCTGTCACAACTCAACCCAATTTTGGTGAACCATGTATTGGAAAATGCTGTAATGCATTGGATATGGGATTACAATTCATTTGCATGACTTGGTTATGTACATTTGTTGCATATACGTTAAAAGCTTATGCTTTGTAGGTGTGTCGCTAAGTTGTGCTGCTCACTGGATAAGATAACGAGGCGAAGGAAAAGTTGCGGGAGAGAGAGACAGAGAGAGGGAGAGAGACAGAGAGGGAGAGAGGGAGAGAGGGAGAGAAGGAGAGAGAGAGAGAGAGAGAGGAGGGAGAGAGAGAGAGAGAGAGAGAGAGGAGAGAGAGAGAGAGAGAGAGAGAGAGAGAGAGAGAGAGAGAGAGAGAGAGAGAGAGAGAGAGAGAGAGAGAGAGAGAGAGAGAGAGAGAGAGAGAGAGAGAGAGAGAGAGAGAGAGAGAGAGAGAGAGAGAGAGAGAGAGAGAGAGAGACCCACGATCACATTGCCCATCACTAACCCACATGATTATTAGAAATCCATTTATCGGTGCTGGTGCGAACGTGATGACGTACGGAGCGTGCACCTCGCCGACACCAGGATCGCGGCTTCTCACGACGATTAGCGGTCCAGCGCGCGCCGACAAAGGCCAGGGCCGGCTCCACCATCAGTCGCGATCGGCCGTGCCGGGGGGCGGCTCGGCGGCAGGCGCCGAGTACTCACTGGTGGCTCGTGCGGCCGCCGGTGTCCCATCGCCTGTGGAAGGGACAGGTTGCGTGGTGTGTGTGCTAGGCACACGCCGTACATGTACATGTGTGCGTAGTGCAGCTTACTTAACAGTATTGATGAGCTTGAAACTAAATCTCATAGCTGTACAGTTGCACAAAGAATATATGACACTCGAGAGAGCGAACTAATCTTCTCTGTTCGAGAGGGCGAACTAATCTGCTCTCTATGCCTGAGAAATGCATTGAACCGCCTCTTTAGCAATCTGTTTTTCTCTATTTCGTTTGCGTCAGGTCGGGTGAGCTGGTGACCACACATGAGCAAATAACAAGCGACATTGAAGCCCAAATTCCAAGGCGAATGCGGGAAAGATGACAGTCGCGCTTGTCAGGCGGAGAAAATTACTTGTAAATTAGACGATTAGCTCACCAATGGCTTTGACACTATTTGGTGTCCTTAAGGTTCGGAAGTCCGGAAGTTCCCAGGCGTTTCCCATGATCACGCTCCGTAACATTGAGCAAATGGCACCATTATCAGCCTGAGATATGTCATTCAGCTGTAACATTGGTTAAGCCGCGTGTGTTCTAGACACTGTGACTGAATGCCAGTCATATTCACGACACGTGCGACTGCATGACGTCACCAGCCCGGATAGCTCGCCTCCACGCTGTCAGAGCCTACGGTAGTATGGACAAGGCGGGCTGATGTGGCAGGCTCGGCTCCAGTTCAGTTCAGGCCTTGGCTGCCGGTAAGCTGCCCGCATTAGGCGAGCCGAACAGAGCGTTGTGGGATTTAGTCTGCAGTGCTGCGCATCAAAGCGAACCGTAACATGGCGAGGGGGTCGGGACGTGTGGTCTGGTTATGGGTGGCATTCGCGCGCCAGGTGTCTGTCGGTAGCACTGGGTATATCACCAATGCCTCCTGTGCCGGTGGGCAGGCCGCTGCCACCCCGTGGTGCCGCTGGACACGTCACCCGGGACCGGTGCCACTGCCGGCTTCGCCACTCATACCCCGCGGTGCCGCTGTATAAGTACACCAGTGGTGGCACGTGGTGCAGCTTCTCTGCCGCATTGGTGACCTATTGTGCCCCTGGGTACGCTTTTGGTGCCTGTCGGCGGTTAAGAGCACGCTGCTAGTGCACCATGATTCTGCTAGACACGCACACCACCGGGTCCCTTGGTGCCGCTGGGTGCACCAGTGGTAGCGGATGGTAGCCCTGCTGAGCTCGTCACCGTCTGTCAGCGGCGGCTCAGTTTCACAGCTCACGCAGCCAGCGACGGGTCGCCACCGACCTCACCGTCCGGCTCGCGCCAGCTCGCACCAGCTCGCGCTCGACTGCGGTTGTGCGCGATGATTGGCCCACTGCGGCCGTGGTGACGCCCATCCGCTAACGGACGCACGAGATGCCTGGGCCCGGAGAGCCATGCACGGGCGACTGGCAGCTCCGGCGCCCCGGCTCGGCCTAGCCGGCTCGCAACGCGCACATCTGGAGCAGCGGGATGCTCAGGATCCGCCGCCTGGTTCGGAGGCGGCGGTGTTAAAGGGTGCGGAGCGCTACGGTCCGAATACTGAAAGTTTGCTGATGACAACGCTCTGCTACTGGAACTTTGGTTTTCCGAGGTTACATGCAACGGTTGGACTTCGGCCAGACCGATGACAGCTAATTTAGCCGTCGTGCATGACAGACGCGAGCCGTACCGATTAAGGATTTAACGAGCATGCATCTCACGAGCATGCCCAGACGACAACCTCATTTCGACGCCGCCACCCGCGGCATCCCGGCGGCGGCGGCTCGGCTCCGCTCGGGCGGCGCAGTCTCCCGTATCCGGCGGGCCGCAAACGGCCGGGCCGGCAGCCGGGCTGCACTCGGCTCGTGGGTGGTCGACACAGATAGCCAGCGGGGCCCGGCCGATGGGCACGACAGGGGCTGGGAACGCAGCGGGCGCCCCGCGGGGCGCGGACCACAGCCCGCTCGCCGCTGTGGTCCGGCCGACACCGTTCCCGGGCAGAATGGCCTCCTCGTCCGATGGTCGGCAAATCATTATGCAGAACGGCGGCGAAATGGACCGTGATGCGTTCAGGCGGCGTTAGCGATAAGTGAGGTAGCTGGTCTGGTGGGCGGACGTGGGTCGTGTGCAGACCCAGTCTGGGCCACAAATGTTCGGTCCGAGCGAGACTGCATCGGAGAGCCATGAGTTCGTGACACTTCGGCTTCAAGTCGTTGTCCATGTTTCTAGGGCATCCACGTTTCCTTTATCACGAAACTCGCGCCTCGACTGCATTGGAAGCCATGACTCTATAGTTATGAGTGCCAACGCCGATGAGTAGGCATGTGTGCGTCATCATGATGCATTGTTAATTCTTAAATTAAAACAACGAAATGCTACAAAAACAGAATAATGAATGGGCTTTCCTTTAAAAAATCATTCGTGAGCTATTCAGGATTTTCGGGCAGACAGTGCTGGCTGAGCCCATCAACACAATTGAAATATGCAGTCAAGCATGATAGACGCAAAATTTATTTCAGCGTTTGCATCGCTCACTTCGGTCATCATTTCTGATGCTTTGAGCACTCGGGAATGCGCTCTGATTGAATTCGTATTACCAAAGTTTAAGTCAACGTCCTTTGCAACACTGCAAAAAGTGCAGCCACAGCGCATCAGCTTCGGGCCCAACTTATGCTTCCCTTATGCTTCACATCCCGCGGTCCTGCAGATTGTCCGACTTGGTCCGCACCACAAGCCTGTTTTACGTCCACGGAGCGCGGAGCTCCGCCTACAGAACGACTGGACGGATGACAGTGTCGAGACTGACTGGTGACCGCGCTGTCCGGCAGTTCACCATCCGGCCCGACAACCTGGAGAAGGAGATCAAGCTGCAGCTGCCCGTCACCATCGCCTCCTACCCGTACCGCAACGCCGACGGCACGCTCAAGCGGAAGCGCGGCGCCCACTACCCGACCACGCTGCCCATGCAGCGGCCCTGGCTGGACAAGAGCAAGCCGGCCGCCTGAGCGCCCGGCGCCGGGCCCAGCCGAGACTTCCCGCACAGCGCCGCCGATCGGTCACCCCGGCCGGCGGGACCGGCGCTGGACGGGGCCGTGACGTCAGCGGCGGGGGGGGGGGGAAGGGGAGCGCTGGTGGAGCACCGCTAGACAGTGATGTCAACGCCGGCGGAGCACCGCTAGGCAGTGATGTCAGTGCCCGTGGAGCACCACTGAGCAGTGATGCCAGCACCGAGGAGCGCCGGCACAGCGCCGCTGGTCAGCGACGACAGGGGACTGTTGGGCGGCGGTCGCGCTGCCGCCGCAGCCCGACGCGGCGCCAGGGGCTACGACGGACGACTGTCCGAGCCGGCAGCCGCCGCCAGACGTGTCGCCTTACACCTTCTGCGCAGACTCCGTGCGGGCCCGCAGCCGCCGGGCGGCGGACGTGACCTGTATGCGTGTGTGCACGGTGTTTCAGGCGCTGCAGTCCAGCGGGCCGGCTGAGTCATGTTTCCTGCCTGCCACGAGGAATGGACTAACTGAACCGCCGAACACGTGTCAGTATACCGCCAGGCCGGAAGCTCAGCTGGTGCCTGTGTCATATATCGAGCCCGGGCCTCCCGCGCGCCGCCGAGGTCGTCCGGGCACAGACTCCACTATGCCCGGTGGCCCGCGTATTCCGGGGTTCGATCCCGCCAGATCCGTCGATCCGACACGGCCGGGTGACGTGTCCACTGTCCACCACAACCCGGCAGCAATCGGTCCCAATGTATTGATGATAGCGCGGCCGACCGTCTGCTCACTAACTGACGCCAACCGTATCGCTAGGTTAATAAATACATCACTGACCGAGAGATGGAGAGACGAGGCTCGCGGTCGCGGCGGGTCGCTCGCCGCGCCGCCGGACGCCCCAACACGCCGACACAGGAGCCGCCACCCGAGATACACGCTCACAACTCCGGCCAGCCCGCCAGCCGCGGTCACAGCGAGACGCTTTGTGCACGTGAAGCAGAGCGTCGGGCGACCTCACGAGGCCGCTCAGCCGGCGCCGGCGGCGCCGGCGGCGGCGCGGCTGGACGGCAGGGCCGCGGTCCAGACGCCGCGCCCACCGGCACGCAGCAGGCGCGCGGTCCCAACCGGAATAACTGGGCCCAAGGCCCGACAGGGACGACACCGCGTCAACACCACGCCCGGTCATGCAGAAACCCCCCTCTTCTATCCCCGCCCGAAAATATAACAAACACAGGTCTGCGACACGCTCTTTCACGCGATCCACTCTGCATAACTGCGGCGGACAGTAAATAAACACGATAACAGGCAGAGACTTAACGTAACACACGACCGTCACGCCCCCCGGACGGCAAAGTCGCAAGACGTCCGCCGGTGCCACAGGTGCAATAAAAAGCGCCACGTGATGCCGAGGCGACCGACGAACGTGCGCCGTCAACACGCCTGCAGGTGGCTCGCCCGGCAGGTGGCCGGCGCCGCCGCCGCTGCCGCCATCTGGCGGCCGGGATGCCCTCTGAGTCCTCTGTCACATCCGCTAGCTGTGCCCAGTGGACAGCCTCTTGAAGAGGGGTCGGCGCACGCCGCCCCGCCCCCCACCGCCGGCCAGCGGCACGTCACTTCAGGAATGCGGCGAACACGGCCCACATGACGCCATTGGTGCCCGGCTTGGCCGCCTCGGCATCCAGGTCCAGATCGGTAAGCTCCCGCACCCGCTTCATCGCCACCTGTCGGAGGCAGAGCACATCTCGAGTTCGACGTCCACCGCAAGGGTGCAGCAACCCATCTCACAAGACGCATAACTCCGTTCGCACATTCGGCGCCACGTAACGGTAACTGTCGCCGACGGCTAGGCTGGGCTGGGCTGGGCTGGCAGCGCAAACCCACCTCGTAGTCGTCGTCGGAGAGCGGCGCGAAGGCGTTCTCTAGCACGTCGGAGGCGTGCGCCAGAAAGATGAGCGACAGCATGCGCTTGTCCATGCGGTGCGGGTCGTTGACCCACTTGCTCAGCACGGCGTCCTGCACCTGGGGACGACGGCTGACGTCACCGGCGCAGCACCGCTGGCGCGGCCCCGGCAGCCGCGGCTCGTCGGCCGCCATAGCTCCCCGCAACGCTGGGTACGCTGATACGATCAGCATACCGAGCCGGCGCCAGGCTGACCTGCAGACGTTGGAGATCGACCCGTACCGGAATAAATTTCGAGCCCCCCCCCAAAAAAATAGGGACGGTGTCTGATCACGAAAAGCGCGAGTCGTAACCAAGACTCCACCCCGAAAACTGACTGCCTTTTTAATGACTCAAAGAAACTGCCGTCCATCACACACGTTCCGTCACATTTATGTTCTTCAACACAATTCCGTCACCTTTACGCACATCAACATCTGCCCAGTGTGTGTGTTTTTGCTGCATCAGCCAGGCTAAGACGTTGATGACTATGCGTAATATGAATGGAAGGGCAAATCTGACGGGTCTAGCGTACCTTCTTGATGAGGCGCAGCTTGGCCTGGTTGTCGGTGACCGGATGGGTTGTCATGTCGAACAGCAGGAAGTTCTGCTTCTCAGTGGTCAGTACGCCCTTCTCCACTAGGTTCTTGGCCAGACGCTCGCGCACGTTGCGCAGCTGGTACCGCAGCTTCAGGGGGTTCCAGGTCTCGCCTGAATCGTACGAAGCCGATCATTTTTCACATGCCTCAGTGCGGCCTCCTCTGAAGACTAGAGGCCTTGGGAAACCTGTTCTGATTATTGCAAACGTGCCGCCAAGAACCCTAACGTAGTACCAACGTTTCTCCTTCCGTTTCCGGGTAAATAAGCCCAATGGGGCATCCCTCTAGGTAATTTGTAATGCATGCTACTTTAAATAGCATGCCGTGTTTCCAAGTCATTTCTCGCAAATAGGCACTCCAACACCTCCCGCTTGCACGAGCATGGGCCGTTCAATGAGGATACATGGGACCACCATCGACGCAAAAAGCTCCATCCTGAAAACAGCAACAGCTGCATTCACGCCAACCCATGCGCCGTAACATGTAAACATGGCGCTAACAGCGGCATTCTTTCCTCCCGGGCCGTCTTTAGCCAGGCCCTCCAGCGCCTGTCCCGGCCCGAAGCGCACCGCTGAGGAACTCGATCCAGCTCTGGACGGACTCGGTGGGCTGCGTCTCCTTGATGTGCCGCAGCGCCTCGTCCAGCAGCACGTCTCCCGTCGGCTGGTCATTCTTCAGCGTCACCTGGCGGCGGCGCGTCACACACAGCGTCACCGCCGAACGCGGCGCGCACGGCGAGGGGCGCTGGCGGACAGGCCTGTTGACTGTATACCAGTCTGGAGCGTCCTCCATCATTGTGGAGGCTCTGGACTGGTAGGCAGCTCTCGAGAGAGGCCGGTCTGCAAGGGCCGGGCACGCCCAGCCCACCACAACGCAGACGGCTTCAGTGCGCTGGAGGCCCCGGCCAGAGTACAGACCGTCCGTACTCACGTGGGGAGGCGGGGGGGGGGGGGGGGGGCGGCCAACTACGGCGGTGCAGGGCGTCGGGACTCACGTGGCGGGAGAGCAGGTTGCGCCGCCGCATGCCGGCCTTGTCCAGCTCGATGCGGCCCCGGATCGCCAGCTCGATCAGCACGCAGCCGCGCAGGCCGCTCGAGATACAGTCGTTCCAGAATGACGTGTACCCCTGGCGGCGGAAAGGCGCGGTGACGCCACGCTCACACAACCACACAAGCGCCGACGGCACGGGGCGGTCACTGAGCCAGTGCAGCTGCTGTCAGCAGTGACTGGCCCACAGCCTGTGGCAGACCTGTCAGGCAAACCGAATAATTCAAACAGGAAGGGAATGGTACCTGCCAGCTCCATACACATACACTCTTGGGGTAGCACTCAGGTGCATACATGCAGACGCCTGTACACATACGACCACCGTCAGGTCGTCTTGCGGTCATGTGCCCCCGCGCCTGTCGTCACCAGCCCCGAGCGCCGGACCGCCACCCACTGACCTCCTTGTCCTTGAGGCCGAGCATGAGCACCTCCTCCATGAGCGTCAGCCGGGTCTCCTTGCTGTCGCCGTCATACTCGCGGTCGCCGAACTGTTCGGCCTCCTCCTCGTTGGCGCCGCCCTCCTCGGCCGGCCGATCGCGCGCCACGTGCCGTCGCTGCACCAGACCCTCGGGCCGACTCATGGCGCCGGCTGGCTGTCTCCTGCCGGGCGCAGATGGGAGCGTGACGTCACAGGTCGCCACCGTACCAGACATCCGGACACCCTTAAAACGGCACCTACGGTCCGCTGCAAATGCCGCCAGGGGCGCCACTTTTTCCTTCGATTTCAATTTTCTTACCGTCATAAAGAACTCGGAGGTCAGTCCGTGTGGAATAGGATGTTCTAGGCTATCGCAACTTATTCCGGATAATGAGATCCAGGCCAAGTTCGGCAGTTGTTGATGGCAAGCAGAGTACGATAGTGGATAAGCATTTGGCCCCAAACTGAAAATCCCGCAAACAATCAAGCAAACCGCCGATCATGCAACATTAAAGGCATAACTAGGAACACTATGCCAGTCTGTAACATGGAAAGTCAGTACCTGGATAAAAGAAAACGCACAGACCGGTGGATGCGGGCAACACTAACTTCGCGCTAGCAGAAAGTCCATAATCGTCCGTGCATAGTTGGTACAAGTCTCGAGTCAACCCCGGCTAAAACCACCTCAACCCTCGATGAGACCAGCGCATTCCTGAGTTCTCTGCAAAGGCCGCAAAGCCGCCTGTAAACACGATATCTGCTGGAAACATCATCCGGCCTCATAAGGCGCTTCGACCACTGCCTAATGACTCGTTAAATGGCGCGCCATATGGAGCTGTCACTGGCGTATTATGGGGCCGGCATTTCGCGAATTCCGCGCGCATTCCCGATCACGAGCTTGGAGGCTCGTGCAGAAGTATCACACAATACGGCGGGCCGGGCAAGTCCGGCCGGGGCGACGGAAGGTGGATCGCGCAGGTACCATTCTTTGATCGTACAGCCACATCGCAATTTTTAATTTAAAAAAACCTTGGGGGACGCGTCCACCGCGTCCTATTCCTGGCCAGTTCATATGCACATGGATAACAAGCTATGATCAACATCTCTGCCGCCGCCAATGTCACGCTGAAAAGGTACAGTTAGTGTCCCTAACGCCAGTCTTCTACGTAAACCCCGTTGGTTTATTTGCAAGACATTTCGAACGGAATATCGCGGCATCAATAACCTCGCTGAGCGAAACTCATTGCCTCGATATTGACCCGACTGTATAAAATTCATGCCCTCCCCACTGTCGGGGTATTGGTGTAATTCAGCGCCTGGGTGGAAATCAAAGCCGTACTCATGGTCCTGACAAGATACGTCTCCGACCCCCGGTCTGCCACGTCCCGATACTCGATAGAACCACTGTTCTCTCCGACCCGGAACCAAAAAGGCTTCTTGAAATTGAACCATTTGGCTAATGATATCAATACTAATCGCCGACATCAACCTTTTGTCTCCCCGCGGCCATTTGATATCATTATCACGCCTCAAATGTCTGCAGAGGACCGTAGGTACGTACGCGTGTCTTATCTTGCAGAGAGGCGAGCGGCTGGCGTGCGATATGTGGCCCGCACTTAACTTCGCAAACAAAACAGGCGAGCTAACAGAGCCAACCTGAGGATGCTGGCAACCCTCCTCCTTACAACTACTCTCTTCTCTTGTGCTTTCATGGGGAGGGTGAGTTAGATTGCTGTGATGCTAATGTAATCTTTGCATGCACAGGAAGGAATAATATGAAAGGGCTTAAAGTGATAGCTTCAGACATCAGTAGATTAATGAGACACATACCTACAGCCCATTTGAAGCCGTTTTGGCTGCTCCATCCAAAGCAATTCAGTTCAGTTTACTGCAGTTTCTTATTGTTGAGAAGTTTCAGGATCTACATATACCCCATCAGAATAAAAGAAAAAATATGTCTAGGAGAATTTTATCTTCATGGGATGATAAAACTTTGTAGTCCATGCTAGCAGGTCGCAAACAACAAAATTTGTGCACTCTATGAACATGATACTACTATTCTCAGCCTGATGTAGTAGTCTCATGTAGTATTGTATTGATGTAGTATTCTCATAGTAGTCTGAATGGATGGTCCTGCATTACTGACAGCCTTACACATGCTCTTATCCAGTTCCTGACTGCCCATCTGCAACTATTCATAAGCATCACAGGTCATAAAAGCAATGCTGATCATCTCCCACACAACCTCTCTGATACTTCTATAGTTTAAGTTTAGAAACATGCTCCATGACTAGTACAACCAGTACATTTTCAATCTGCCCGACACCTGGGAAGCAAAGGTAAATTGTCAATCACAGTCAAAATTATGAAACAAAAGTAAACTTCCCACCCTGTGGCCAAGTAATGCCTACTAAACTTCACTCTTAGGGGGCAGCAATGCTTGTGGGTGGTTAGCTCAGAATATTATCATCATTACGACTTGACACACTTCAACTGAGCGCCAGAGCTTGGCTGGGCATAGAAGGGTTGTTGCACATGTTGTAACTGAGGTACAGCAACTTAAATTTCTCACAGGCCACAGGCCAGCACCATCTTTTATGGTACCACTGTCACCAGCAAATGTTAGTCTTTCCCTCACACCAGGCATCTGATGTGTGAAACACATGGGAAAGGTTCCTAACATTAAGCCTTCTAGCTGCTTTTAGCTTCCTATTCCCACTGAATGGCTGGTCATTTCAGTGCTCCAGATAAATCTTAAAACCTTGGCTAAATACTTGTACACCACATGATCACCACACATCTCAGCCCATCTGAAACCCTTTTCTTAACCAGCAGATAGTGCTCACATATGTGAGCAAATCTGCCTGTCATGTGCACAACAGCCCTGATAGGGTCAATGCTTATCATCTTAGTACTAATGTGGACAAAGGTGCAGGAGAGAGGGGTTGAGCAATCCAAGATTAATTTAATGCAAGTGGTTCTGCTTCTGAGACACAAAGTATTTTAAGTCTCACTTGCATTTCCACCATCAACATGATGGGGCACTGGTATTGAAGCCTCAGCAAAGCAAGGAGTAAACTTTGACAAATAATGCTAGCTGTCTAACAGAACAATGTGAGCAAGCCCACATCACCTTCAAAAACAAGCCACTGGTGATGGAAAATATGTCTCCCAACTCACACAACTCACTCACAAAACCCTGGTGATGATGGAGATGTGGAAAAAGCCAGCAACCTAGTATTGCCATGTCTTAATTTAATTTGCAGTGTCTGATGGCTGTGAATGTCATGTTCTTGTAAATGAGCCAATATTTTGAACTTGATCACTTGATGAGCAGAAATGCATCTTCCCTCAAAATTTTGCATATATGTTTTCACTTCAATCACAATCCTGGACTTTCACTAAATATTTTGAAATGACGAGAATGAGTAGGTTCATAAGTTGCTATGATCAACAGCACAAATATGTAAAAGTTTAGAAGTAATGAGGTATGTACAAAAATGACCAGTCAGGCAACAATGACATCATCAACCTTGCGCTTCAACATCATAAGACTAAGGCATGGATGATTAATGCAAACAGGATTAATGGGTGGTATTATTTAACAGTTAACTTAAGTGGAAAGCAATGCATGGGAGTTGGGTGTTTCTTGGTGTTCTAGCCCCAAGACATTTGTTCTCCACAAGTATACATTGGAAACAATATTCTCTAAAAAAAGGTCTTTGTGTGCAACATGAGGTGCAAACGAGCTGCTCCTGAAACTTCATCGGCATCATGTGCCATGCTCACCACAACTACACAAGTGATGCCACTTGCGGGTTTCGGCTGAATATTTTTTATCATACCACACACAATCTTTCCTTTTGTTCCACTTAGTGCTCAAGTTGGTTGCCGCTCATCAGCACATCTTTAACCCACCTCCCCATCCAACCAACAACACTCCCTCACTCAGATGCCCGACTCAGAGCCCACACTCAAAACAACAAGGGCCTCTCCTGACAGGCATGGTGGCCAGGAAGACCAAAGAGAACATCTTGTATGGGTCATGATTAAATGTTTCTGGATAACATGCTGAAATTGTTGTAACACAATACACACTGATACCAGAATACATATCAGACTAACATATGCATAGGTACACACACACGCACACGCACACACACACACACATATATATATATATATATATATATATATATATATATATATATATATATACATCTGTATATGAGATGAACCAATTATATATCAGGTAAAAATAAGGTTAAATTCCTTTAGATACTACTTTATTGAAGCTCCATTTGACACTATACAAAGTGGACATTATATAACAGATATACCAGTGACCTCAAACACCATCCAAAATGCTCACTTGGGCATGACAAATTCCACACCTCCTCAAGTCACCAACTCTTGGGGAGGATTTTACATTGGAGATGCCACCACCAAGGAACATAAGCTGAATACAGGATGAACATCAACAGAGGGGGCATTAAACAAAACCATGCAATTTTCCTACTGATCTACATAATGTCACCCCCAAAGTATGGTGTGGGTGTAAAGCTATAGCAGAGTTTCTTGTTTTCTGCCAAGCAGATATTTTGGTTTTATCATAAAAAATCAGTTGCATTTTTGAAATCTCACTTTGATTTAGAGCTTTCCAAATGAACAATTTGTACAAAACCATTACGGTCCTAGAATGATGATGATTTGGGCCTTGGGCTCAATGACTACATTGGTCATATGGTGCCCATACAATCCTAGAAAAGCAATATCAAAACTGGTAAATAACTAATAGCAGATGTGTCCTTGTTGTTGAAGACTGCTACTCTGTGCATGCCATTTCTCCTCTCCTTTTGCTTTTTTTACAAGAGGGCACATGGGGTGTCAGGTGGTGACCATGGGATCTGTAGATAATACAGACAAGGTGTAAATTCAGCCCAGCATCATACACTGGGTATAGCATTGTGTTAGCCTAGTCAGAAAGAGCAATGAATAAGTGAAATAGTGATAACTTTTTAGGGCTGACTTGTTCTATTGCAACAAAATAATTATTTGATCCCTGCCCCCATTGACCTATGAGACATGGTCATGCAGCAGTGCAGCTTGATGTCCCAGAGTGAAGTTTTATATATAACTTTGTGGAGGGGGTGAGCAGAGAAAATAATTTAAACTGCACTGATTGTGCAAACCTTGTTCTCCCTGAACTTGGCCAAATTTCTTCTCAAGGTTGGGGAGGGACTAGAGTCCCATCCCACTGAATGGGGAAACTACACCCCTGGTCCCAAATTTAATATATCTAGGACAGTAGAAACCCATGTGGGTGTCAAATTGTTCCAGCATCTGTCCCCTGCTGAGAAAGATTGCATCTTAGCTAGAAGATAGCTGCACTTATTACCATGTCTTAGATGTTCCTTTTTTAATGCAGTGGTTAACATACCACTTCAATTATAAATTTATGGTCATGCATTCTGGGGGAGTGTGCAACAGGTGCAAAGCATCCCAAATATTGGTTTTCATGAGCCATAAGTGAGACTTGCCCCTTTGTAATAAAACTGACAATATAAGCAACTTCATATCCACCCCATAGCCTCCCACTTAGGAAGCAGGCAGTAACCATGGCAGCTAAAAAATTCAATAATTACACAAAACAACCTTCAATGGTCTCTGACAACCACAGAGACCAGATGGTGCATGGTTTTTACTCTAAGCCACAGCTTACTAACGACTTACTAAAGCACCAGTTGAGCATACAGCGCAAACACACCTAAACTATTTTGTTCTCACTACAAACCGTGATTAAAATTTGTTGCTCCCTCCCCACGAGCCAAAACAAAATTTCAGATTCGGGTGGAAAGAAACACACAAGAACACGCGTGAGGATTGCATGCCGTTGTCAGGAACACTCGGACACGGCGACAGCACAACACTAAAGTGACGCACCTGCAGTTATGATTTCCAGCGAATATGCCGGGTGCAGGGCGGATAATCAGCAAAAGAAATTATCGCATTCGGCAAAATTCAGGTTGCAAAACAAGGGACGCCGCGTGTGTGTCATACGTTGCAGAGGAAAGACAGTTTATCGCACACGGTCACCCGCGCTATCGCCCCCAGCACCTGGCTGGCGATCCCGTTTGTTGACACGATTCCAAGGCCATATCCCTCAACCAAAATATCATTCATATTTTCTACCATATAAAATGAGCATCCACTTAGAACCGAATATGCTTTGAAGAAAAATGCTTATAAGAAGCCATGGATATTTCATTAAGAAGATATTTCTTCCAATTTACCAGACTGCATCTGTGCCACATTTGTTATTTTAAGGCTACAAACTTCTTTGATTTGGTACCCCACGCGAGTACCATAGACATGCGTCAGGCCAATGATACCACACTAGCGCCGTCACTTTATCTTTTTAGGGGAGAACGCTCCGATGCTCGCCTTAGCACCACCACAACCAACACCCCTCCTTACACTCCTTTTTCTCCCCCCCCCCGCTCCACACTGATGGACATGGACCAAAAAGGAATACTGAAGCATGGAAACAGAAAATTACCCTGAAATGCAAACAAAGCAGGTACATGAAGTAATCACAATTAGGCTCATGCTCATTTTGCACCGTATTGTATCCTGCACTAGCCTTATAGTTTTTTCTTCCAACTGTTTCAAATGTTACCATGGGATAGCGCATGGATCGGTCAAAAATGGCCTGTACTACGCGGCAGCAGGAACAATTGGCCGGGCCCGCAATTTCCATTGGTCAGATCCCTGACACATCGTGAGGACCTGCATCTGGCAGTGGGTCCTGCCGGGTGCAGGATGCCAAAGAGTCCTGTGTCCTGTCATGGCCCCGTGCCCCCCCCCCCCCCCCCCCAGGATCCGCCTATGTGCTCGAGGCCCTCTAAGCACGAGAACTTACGACGCGAGTTCACATAAAGACGATGCAAGGGCCCTGTATCTGTCAGGGACGCCAGTTCCGGACGGGGCTCTCCACCTCTGCACCCAAGGACTCGCTATGCCGAACTGGATTATATGGCCCATTATAGGATCGCCTACGGAGACATGGGACCTTGCTGCGTCGATGAACAGGAGAAGCGCCAAGGATTTTGAGTTGGGAGCGGGTGCAGGATTTTCTAGGGGTTTCCTGGACCGAATGGGATTTCCTCACAAGGGGGGGGGGGAGGTTGCCACTGGGCAGTGTCGGCGAGGAGAGGGGCACTGAGGGCGTGTGCCCCGTAACACAAATTTTAAAAGATCATAAACGAGGCCCCTCATCCTCCAGCAAAGCGTTTCGCTGGAACAAAACAGGGCGTTCTGTCCCAGAAAACGGCCTCCTGATGCGCGGAGAAGCCTTCTGATCGAATACGGAATGCTTTTTATTCACGGCTGCAAGACAGGGAACGAAGAGCTCAACGGTACTAAAACTCAGTGGGAGCTAGCAAAGAGTATGGGTTGAAAGAGGTCGGCGTCGGGCCCTTTGCGCTTTATTATTTTTACGAATAATATTGGGATGGGATTAGAAAGTAGGGCGCTGTAATTTGCTAACGATGTAAATTTGGCGGGAGCATCGAAAAACACAGACCAGATGGCACTTGACTCACAGTAGCTAGTGAACTGGGCCTCCCTGTGGAGGATGTCATTTCATGGTGATAAGCATACGGTGATGCATTCGGGTAGTTCTGGAAGCGAGGGTATTAACTATAACTTGAGAGGCCGTGAGTTGGACTGGCTCGAGTAAGAAAAGCACTAAGGGATTCAATTTTTCAGAGATTTGCAGGCTGGAAAGCAACATGGGACTGCTAAGAAGGCGCTTCGAATACTGGGATTTATCAACAGGAAAATCCATTGTCCTGAGTTGGAATGTTGTGAACAGTTGTACTTAGCTTGTGTCACACCACAGCCATAGTATTGTGTGCAGACTTGGTCCTCGCCCTTCCAAAAATATATAGATAAGCTGGGGAGAGTTCAGCGAAAAGCAGCTAGGATGATACATGGGAATAGCAAATTATACAAGGATAGGCTTAGGGCATTAAATTTGTATTCACTGAAATGTCGTAGACTTAGAAGGGATCTGATAGAGGTATTCAAGATTATGAGAGGGATAGACAAGGTAGCTCTGCAAGGAACGCGGGCAACTAGGACGATACTTAAAGGAAACCAGCTTCAATTACCTAAAGGTAGGATTAGGCATATGAAGAGACAGATGTCATTTAGTCGAAGAGAAATGAATCATTGGAATGGACTTTCGATGTGGAACGTTCCATTTACCATAGATTGTAAACCGAAATGGGTTGGAAATTTGTATGAACATTGCCAACCCATGTATGTCTGGAAATGGCCAGCCCTATGGCAGAGTTGATGACAAAAGTTATGTAACACAGTTTTGAGCATGCGCGCTCGCCAATCATAAAAACAAAGCCCCGACGCCTAGCGTTGCACTCCCCATACGCCGTACGTCGTTGGTCCCACGGCTAACACTAGGCGGTGGCCAGCGGGACGAGGACAGTATAGAAGATAGGGATAATGACCACAATACTGACGCATCTGAAATAAGTATTCTTAAATGCATCAGGACATCATTTCGCACATTTCGTAGGCAGGCGTGGTAATATTTCACCCGTGCAATTTTTAGATTGTAAAGAACGGGTTGGCACTTACAGCACCGCAAAATGGTGCTGGAATCTGGTGGTGGGACTGGAAGAGTAAATATAATTTGTTGTGTGCTGCTGTAACTGTTTATCTGTCCAGAACACAATCTCCAAATAATAAAAGATACACAGCCGTCTAGTATTTGAACGGAACGATATGAGTTTTGGAATATCATCGGAAACTTTATTTCGCGAGGATCGTTCTCGCGCACCCCCAGCCCACCTGCTGGCGTCACCTGCATCGGCCAACGCCGTTCGATTTTACGGAAAGTGCAACCCCAACCATCGCTGCTTTTGGCCCATGGCGTGGGCATGCAGGCTCAAACTTGTACAAGTAATTTCATTCACTGATCTATTCTGCAAATGAATGGACATTCTCAGGCAACCACGGAGTGACATTTTTTCTTTTTTGACCTAGTTTCGATCCACTTTATTGAGTACTTATAAGACCCCCTACCTTTTCCGGATAAGGGGCGCTGTGAGTAAAATATCAGGTGGCGCATTATCGTCTCCGGTCAAGAGCTGAATGGCCAATCTGTCCCAAAGTGGGTTACCTACCAGCTGCCATCCAGGCAACACAGGAGCTGGGTCCCCTGATGGATCCGGAGGCCCTGAGAGGGATACGTTCTGCATTGCTCGCCTCCCTGATGTGGGAGGCCTGCTGACTTGCGATGTTGGCCCGGATCGACGCAGGAACCCTCATCAACAGGGGCAGTGCAGCCGGAAAAGGGGAGAAGGGCGGTCAGTTAGCGCAATGACTGCCGGCAGGAGGGGTGGGGGGAATTATACCTTTGTCTCTTCCAATTTTGTGGGAAGCCCTTTTCCTAAATTAAGGGCATTGTAACTACCTGTAGGTTCAAGGAGGTCCAATAACTGAGTTAAAGAGTAATAAATCGGACTCAGAAGACCCTTTTCTACATCGAAAGGCCCGTTTCCTGGTCATGAAACTACCTTTATGAGTAATGCAGTCCATGATTTCGATCAGTAGGTTAAGTGTTGGGCTAACGCGGCCCGGTTGCTGACCCGGGATGCCCACGTTTCAAAAAAGGATGAGCTCGTTTTGGGTTAGGAGGCGCCATCTATCTTCAGAATGCCGTATTTTGAGAGCAGCAGACGCCTTTCATGCATGAGATGGTCGCCGTTCCGTCTCAGAATGCCGCATTTTGCGTTAGCGCGGCCATTTGGCCAGCTTTGGAGGCCTCCTTCGTAGACATAGGGACATAAAACGTAAAGGCATCAGGTCAACAAAAAGTTACAACGGCCCAATGGGGTTGGCCTGCCTCAGGCTCCGCTCACATCCTAGACATTAATCTTGCCGCCTGACCTGCCTGAATATAGCTATAACTGTAATTTTAGAGCGATAGAACTTGTCCAAACGATTTTGTATGTTGCTAGAGAAGGATTTCCTAGAGCTTGACTTTAGGAAGTCCCTCTCGCCCATTTCGGTGTACAATCTATTTAAAGGTAGTGTTTAAAGTCTTTTTAAAACTGATTTTTTATTTAAATGTTTAAAGGTCTATTTAGAGGAAGTGTTGCACATTTATATGACATTTTGAACTGAAACAGCCATCTTGAAGATCATTCACTGCAGTTCACAGTCCTGCCCTTTTTAAGACCTAACCCGCTCTGATTTTTTAGCTACAAGGCTGCGAAAATGCTTGTGAGCTACTTCGGGGAAACTTTAAGTTCACCCAGGCATCCATGACGCAATAATACCGTCATTCAAATCCTGCCATTCCATTTGCCGCGCGATGATTAAGACCAAAAAGAATATAGCTGTTGTGCCATTTATATATGGCTTTCGTGAACACGATTTCCAGATTTAACGGTCGTCAATTGATGTCCGTCAAGTTGGCGATTTCTTCAACGATTTTTTTTTTCAGCGACGGCTTCCAACTCTTCTGAAACACGCATTGAAACCAATGTTGGGACAAGAACATCAAAAATGGCGTTTATTTTACAATGTCATGCGATCTTGAAGGTAAAAAAGGTCAAACGATTGGAAGCTCTGCGTTACCAAAACATCACCAGCCGATTTTGAATTTGCAGGTATCATGATATTTACCAGCGTAAGAGCTAGCGCCCATAAACATGTTCTCACCTCTAAAAATCACCTTTCAGCGCAAACTTTATGATTAAAAGACCGGGACCTTTCTATTGCTCAAGTAGTTACCGGCCGATTTCAAGCTTGCAAGCACCAAAATGTTAAATAGCACATGAGCTAGCATCCGTCATAAAAGTCCTGACCTCTCAATACCACCTTTCAACATCAAATACAAGCTCAAAGGACGGGCAAAGCCATAGCAGGAACAAATTGCCGTTTAATTTTGAGCTTACAATAACCGGAATATTCATCACAGAAGACCCGACGTCATTCAAAAAGTCATTATCTCTAGAGGTTACCCCTCTAGATCAAGAAAGGCTCAAATTTCTGGGAATCGTGGCGATTCATTCTACGATTTATTCAACGACCAGTTC